TGCCTTTGCTGCCACAATTAATTTTGTTTGCATGTTCTGCAAGAGGCGTTTTCAAAAACATTCACCTTACGAGATCAGTACTGATCGACCAGCCGAATGGACGTTCTGGACTGTTGCTCACAACCAGTTGTGAAGCAGCCAACATTTCTTCCTCACGGACTCTGCGCCTATCCCAGAATCAGCCCCGCGTCTCCTTTTCACGGCCCTGCTCATCTGTGGCCAATGTAAATTCTTTTGAAATAACTTCCATCGTTCTTACCCAAACTCACAAAGAGCCCCATCGATCCCAGGACAGCAAACGTGTTTGTCTTCTTCCTCTTCCCCTGCGGCTGGCAGGTTAGATGACTCGCCTCAGGACCTGGTCCTTTATCTGGCTGGCATGTGGCTCCATAAACCCTTTCTTTTGCAAAAACTTTTGGGCTCGAAGGTCATTTTTTTAACATGAGGTATACGAGTGTTCTCTGAAAACATAAATATCATTTGCATTCTCACCTTGGTCTTATATTTTCTTGAATTGGCAAGAAAAGGGAAATTTTAATAATAAAATAAAGGATTCCTGACTTAACAGCAGTGAACTCTTGATAGTCAATTCAATGAATATTTATCGATCACCTCTTTAGTTACATTTTCTTATAGCATATAATTAATAACTCTTTAAAGTCTTTTCCATAAAGCAGAGCCAAACAAAAGTATCCCCCTGGCCTACATTCCCAGTTAGATACAATCCTATGTCTCCTATTGCATTGTATCAGTTAGCTTTTGCTACGTAACAAACAATCCAAAACTTAATAGTCAGAATAACCATCATTAATTTAGCTCATGATCCTTGTGGGTCAGTCATTTGTTCTGGACTCAGCTGGCCAGCCACTGGCCAGGTTGATTGGTGGCTGGTCTAGGACGGCCTCAGCTGGGCTGGTTTGCGTTGCTCTGTGCGGGCTCTCATCTGCTAGCAGGCCAGCCTGGGCTTCTTTACGTGGCTTCTAGGCAGGGTTCAGTGACGTTTTCTGACAACTCTCCTTTTGACATTCTCTTTTTTTTTATTGTTTTCAGTGACACCTTTCTCTCCTGATTTCTCTTCTTTCTTAAAATTTATCCATTCATCCATCTCTCCGTCTGTCCATGTGTCCGTCTGTCCATCTGCCCGTCTGTCCATCTGTCTCTCATTTGTCTATCAGGTTCCCGGCTCTGTGCCGGGCAACAGGGATTACAGAGACAGATGAGCTATGTTCCCTGTTCTCGAGGCAATCAGAGACCGGTAACAGAGGAGCCTGGTGGTGTGTGGCAGGTGCCACAAGAGAGAAATCCACGGGGAGCTGCAGACCACAGACAATGGGTCCCTCGGTTAGACGTGCTCTCTGCTGCCTCTCCTTCTTTATGCTCCTAAAATGTTACAGCTGTCCAGAGTTGCAGCCTCGACATTTCTTCTCACTTTGTTCAGTTACCTCAAGTGTTAGCATCTGTATGTATGAATTCAATTCCTGTGTGTAAGCTTATGACTTCCGGTCTGTGTCCTCATACCTTTATCCCAAGCACTAGATCTGTCAAGTCAGCCGACTACTGAACCACAAAACACCCCCGACTCAATGTGCACAAAGGGGAACTCGTAATCCTCCCCTGGAAATGTCCTCCTGTGTTTTCCATTGCAATTGGTGACAGCGTTGTCCACATTGTACCCCAATGTGGAAACCTGGGAATCACATTATAATTATAGCTGCTGCTTAGTGAGCCCTTAACTATTTGGCAGGAACTGGGTCAAGTGCTTGCCATAGACTTTCGCATTTAAGCTTCATGAAAACTTTACGTTGTAGGCATTACTGTCCGCATTTGATGGATGCAGGAAGAGAGGACCAGGGCAAGCAGGTACTCTCATGAGGCCCCACAGGTTAGTGGGCAGAGATGATATTCACACCCATACCCTTTGGATCCAAAGCCTGTGCTTATCATTGAGTCACCATATTCAAGGCCCACGGACATGTTTTCTTTACCAGAGAAATGACTTATTAACATTTTAAAATAGGAAGGGTTCCAATAAGAATATGGATTTCAGGTATTTCTTGAAAATTCAAAAGAGTTGATAACTGGCCCCATATTCCAAATGGCAGCAGTTGGCTGCAGGTCAGTGGCAGCCACATCCTTTTGGAAGGGACATGCATTATCCAGTTCGCCACAGTCCCTGCCACTCCCTATTGTCTTACAGCTGGCCCACTTCCCTCATCAATATTATCTGCCCGACTCTGCTGATAGTTACCGTTCTGACTTCCTCTTTTTTCATTCTTCCACCATCTAATTGGTCCCTCGACTGACGGCGTTACTTATAAAATCATTGACCACTCTGTCTCGCATTTTCTATCCCTATTGCTACAAGTTGGTTCTCTTAACTTCTCACCTCGGTTACTCTAGTAAATACCTGGTTTCCTGCTTCTAGTCTCAGCCTCCCCTAATTCACTTTCTACATTGCTTACAATTGGGCATATATTAAAAAAATCACAACTAGATGATACTCGGTAGCCTAGAATGGAACGCAAGCTCCTTAGTGTGGGAGGACGACCTGTCGTGGTCTGGCCTCTGACCAGTGCCCTCATTTACATTCACTCCTCTTGGCCTGACTGACGTATCGGCTCTCCCCACAGTCACGCCCCTTCGCATCCCGTGCATGTCTATCCATCTTCCTCTCTACTTGGAATGTTATACGTGGATTATTAATATTTGTAACCGAGTGAATCAACACTAATCCAAAGAGACTGCCTTTCTGACATTTGTTTTTGCTTTTATTTTGGCTCGGTTGATAAGTCTCCCATTTTTTTTTTCTTTTATTAAGATACAAACAGAGTAGAAACATAAGTCCTGGCTATGTTTACACCTCATAACATCTTAGTTGGTCTGACATTCGCTTCTCTTCTGTGCAGTATCGCGGTTAGACCTTGGGCTTTGTATCCCAGCCGCCATCTACTAGCTACGCAGACTTGAACAGGCTGCTCCACATTTCTGTGTCTCCATTTTCTCATTCATAAAGGAGGGCTAATAGTTCTCAGATCATACAATGACAGTGGGGTTAAACGAAATAATGTACATAAAGGCTTAGAACTGTCAAGAGCACATTAGCCCCCACTAAACGTCAGCTGTTTCTGTTATTATTACCATTATTTCATTCATTCATTCATTCAGCATTGGACTGGGAACTGTTCTAGAAATGTTGGCTTATATCCATCCTTTTAGAATTCACAGCAACTTTATGAAGAAAATAATTTCAAACTTGTTTTTGGGGTCAGGCGGTAGAAGATAAGAGAGGACAGGACTTGCCTTGGTCACTCAGTTTGTCATATGGTAATAATGTTATGTTTAAGTACCTCCTTTTCAATCAGAGTGAAATGGAATACATCTCGTGAAGGATAGAATTATATTCCACTTTAGGCTGTGAAGGGACTCTTTAGAGAATTCAAGTGTTATTAAGACTGATTGTGTGGTGCATTTTTAGTCTGATTTCTAAAATTTAAAAACTACCAGAAACTTTATGAAATGTTGAATAGCAGTGGATTTTTTGAATTTTCTATTTCTGTACAGGAAAATACCAAGTTGATTATGCCAATTTATGAATGATACTTCAGTTAGTTCTGTCTGGGAACTATTTTTGTTTGTTTTATATACTCACTATGTCCTTAACAATAACAACAAATCTGCCCGTATTTCTAGGAGTTCTGCGTGAAGATGAGAAATATAAACTTAAATTTAGATAAGAACAATGAACTATAATATTGGAATAAAAACTGTATAAGAGTAAAATTATTTAACTGTCATTTTTAAAATTTGAATAGTTTCCATTTAATTTTCTAACTGCTCTTCAAATATTAAAAGAAGACTAGATCGTTAAATACCTACGTGGACACACAGACCCACAGAACCACATACACGTGGATATGTCATTTTTTAAATGGAGAAATGCTGAAACACACACAAAACCAAATAAAAGTCACCTACGCAATAAACATTTAAAATACAAAATATTTTAAACCTGTATCGAGGTCTAATTTACGTATTATAAATTTCATTCATTTTTAGAGCACAGGTCAATGCATTTTAGTAAATACTCAGAGTTGTGCAGCCATTGCCACAATCCAATATCAGAACATTCTACATCGACCCCCAAAGACTCATGGCCACTTGAAGTCAATCCTTCTTCTCACCCAGCCCCAGGCAACCACTGATTTACTTTCTATATCTACAGATTTGCTTTTACTGGACATGTCTTATAAGTGGAATTACACAATATGTATTGTAGCTGGCATCTTTCACGTAGCATCATTTTTCGAAGTTCGTTTGTCGTGGCCTGTGTCAGAACGTAGCTCCTTTTCCTTGTCGCATAGTGTCCTAGTGTATGGATATATTGCTGTTGGTTAGCCATCATAATAAACAAGTTTTTTAAAAGTCTGTATTCAAGAAACTGCCAGGAGTGGCTGCTTCTAGAGAGGGAATGGGGGACAAAGGACTAAGGGTGGGAGAAAGATTTTTTTATCGTTTACTATTTTATATGGGTTTAATTTTTCAAAATCAGGACAATATCTTTATCTATTGAAGCAAAGTAAGGAATGTCTTTCCCAGGCAATGTGTATAAAATAAGAGGTGAAAGCTCTCCACTGACCTCAACCCCAAAAGGTAGTCACCATTAATTTATTTTTGGCATCTTTCTATTCTGTACACACACACGTATACACCTGTATGCATATCAATCTATTCATGTCCCTGTATGTCTGTATATCTAAGTAGTCGTATATTTCACATTAAAAAAAAAAGGAAGCATAGGGCTTAATATTTTAATGCCCTGGTTACCACAACTAAGAAAACGTGCCTCATCCGCCTTGGTGGTACATATTTGGAAATTCTAAATGCATGAATTGACTAATCAATCCACAGTGGAGAAAAGAATCGCGGACCCGGGTTATGAGTTATTACGGGTACACACGGCTTAGTCTTCTTACCCCTCCCCTGTCTGCATTTCCTGCCAGGGTACTTCGGCTCCACCTGCGAAGAGAAGGTGGACCCGTGCGCCTCGTCGCCGTGCCAGAACAACGCGAGCTGCTTCGCGGACGGGGTGCGCTTCAGCTGTGGCTGCAGCGCCGGCTTCACGGGGCCCACCTGTGCCCAGCTGGTTGACTTCTGCGCCCTGAGCCCCTGCGCTCACGGCACCTGCCGCAGCGTGGGCACCAGCTACAAATGCCTCTGTGACCCAGGTTGGTACCGCCCACCGCCGCCAATCCTTCCATCCCCCAACCCCCGAGACTTCTAACTCTTCTTTTGCATCTGCGCAAATGTTGGTCCTCTGGATGTGTTTACTTGTTAACGTTAAGTGATCTCCACTCGTTTATGACGCGCTTTCTCTTTAGGCTGACAATTGGCAGAGTTTTGAAAATACCCTTTTCGTGAGCAGTTCACCATTGTTGTAGAAAAATAAGAAAATACAAGTAAGCAAAATGAAGGAAATTAAAAACAGGCCTAATCTTAGAACAGCTTCATTATATTTATATGTTTTTAACAATTTACTTAAGCTCATTCCACAGCTTTAGCCATATTGCATTCTTAGGTTAATAGAATATGTTTTTCCATTTTAATGCGCGTAAAAAAACAGAATGCGATCCAGTCAGAATTTTATCATCTCTTAAAATTCTGACTCTGTGCACGACGTTATAGGACCTGTGACTCTCTCTGTAAATGTTTAAAAGTTCTGTCATTTCTTTTCCACATGTCTTCTGCGTTTTACTAATGTCTTTCATCGTGTAAGTTCTGATATTCAGAAGTCAGAGTAGTTACTAGTCCGAATTTGTCCTCACGGCCTCCCGGTGTGGTCCAAAATGCCCGCACGGGGACCCTCCTTCTCTCCCCTCACTTGCATTCCGCCCGCTTCTCCATCCTCGCCCGAGCTTGCTCTTTACAGCGTTCCCAGCATGTGTCCCTGGCCCGTCGCTGGCCAGGTCCCTGGTCTTGCTGACTCCTGCTTGTGCTCATGCAGGGCCCTGCTCACAGATGCCCTGTCTCACCTGCGCACTCTTCCTCCTGGGGCTTAATCAGCTTTCTTTCCTCTGAATTCCAACCGTCACCCACAATATCACTTGTCTGGTCTTTAAAGCATTACGTCAATGACCCT